ATATAGAATTTGAAAAGACACTACAAAAACATCAACACAAACAGAATACACAATCTCAAAGACAAAGCAATAGCACATCTATAGCTAAGCATTTTTCCACTGAGCTTTAAATGAATCACAACAGTTCCATTTCATCACTTAAAACCTCATTGTGCGAGTTACTGATAACATAATTAATGGTCCGGGATAACTTCACAAACAAATACTTGTTTTTCTACACTTTTGAGGGAAACTTGTATAGGTTTCCTCTATTTGACCAGATGTATGAATACACAAAAATTGTGCCCTATTTCCACTTCTTGAGAATGATACCTGTGAAGTGGGTGGGCCATTGTAACACAAGTAATCAACGTTTTACTTCACTCAAGCATGGAAGTGTCTGATTACGTTTGTTAATGCTCTACCCGACATGTCCCCCCTGTTGCATTATGGTTTGTCATATGGCACAAAATACAATAGTCACACATATCACCAACAGTTTCTTTGATTAAAAAAAAAAAGTTTGCCAAAGTAAAATCAGTTCAAGCTTAATGGAACATACTTCCTCACATAAAACTGCAATTTCACTCGTTTGATCAAAAGAGTCAACTGGAAGAACAATTATTCTAACAAAGTATTCTGTAGCTTGTGAAGCACGGCTATCATTAAAAAAACAAACAATAGAACGTTAGTACTGGTATTACTGTAACCCTGTTCCCTTGATACTAACTCCATGTACTTCTTTGTTCATGAGGTTTTCAAAAACGTCCAGTTTTGTTTCCAGGGCATTCAAGTATGTTAAAATGATTAGGACGTTAGTGCAACCTTTTACTGGTGGTAAACTCCCATGCAACTATATATGCAAACATGATTTTTGCTAATAATGTATGTCAGTTATTGCTTTTGCACATTCCAGTTTATTTTGTTGCGTAATTGTTATTGTATTCAGTGCTTTCATCACAGGAAAAAGTATATTAAAAAAAACATATGGGGATGTTTTGTGTTGTAAAAATATATTTTTTTCTTCTTGAGCTCAGTTTCAAATCTAAAAGGTATTGGTTTGTCATAAAGTAACACTACACATTGGACCTAAATGAAAAAAAGTGTATGCTGTTTTACTTTTTTCTTTTAGTTTCTGGAATTACAAATCAACATTAACTGTTATGAATAAATTCCTTAAAAATTTTGCACAACAATTCTTAGCAATGTCAGAAAATCAAAACTTGCTTTTAAACTTTTCCATTTAGTAGTAGTAAAATGCCAGAGACACTAAAATAACATGCCTGGTGAAAGTTTGTTGACATCAAGGGCTAGTGCTATCCATCAGTTATACAAGAGAAAGAAAACACCTTACAGTTCAGGTATCTGTTGAACCCATCAACATGTAAGGAAATACAAGACTAATCGTCTCCACCCCTTCTTGTTGTTAGGAGTTAAAGCGAGCAGGACCTGGCTTGTGGAAGCTGCCATGTTGGGTTTTTGGAACCAGAATCTGCGCATCAGGATGTGGGACCTAAACTTCCAGGTTCCAGCAATGTATCCATTATTTCCTTACACGTCGATTGTCAAACCATGTGCTTACGTACTGAAGGCGTGGCGTTGTGCTAAGAAAACAGTGCTTTACATCAAACTTTATGAATCTTTAATTATCTCCAAAAATATTATCAACTTTTTGTGCTTAGCCACCAAATAGTCTGACATGGGAAGCACTGACCGTTTGAAGTGATATAATCAGCATAAATAAACACATTAATTATAATGAAAGCAATTTAAAAAAAGAACCTAAAATAAAGTCAACTCTGTGGACATTTTAGTCAAACAGAAGAACCACAAATTCCTCATAAAGTGCAAATTAAAGAAGTTCCAACATACACATTGTCTGACATTCTTCTTATTGCCTGTAGACATTGTTGGCAGAGTGTATATAGAAAGTTGGAGCACAATTAGGGCGTTTGACAGGAGAAAAAAAAACAATGATGCTTGGACGATGCGAGGCACTTGTAAGGGTGTATTATTCACCAATTGTCCATGCCTCATACATCAATTTTAAGTTGAATGTTGAACTGGAAAGAGTGGTTTTCAAACAGCTAATAACATAAGATCTGGTAACAATCAAGTCATTGTGTAATTAACATACCTCAATATATTCATTTGACTTTATAAATTCAATTGAACACTTGCTGGTTGTTAATTTATGCACCCAACAGTACATTTGTTTTCCTGTAAATACCTGTTTTCTGATGCATTCCCCTTGCACATTAAATTATTCTACATGGGTAGGTGTTCTGCATTTGTTGTATTATCAATAATAGAAATGATAACTGCTTCAAAAAAAAAAAAAAAAGAGAAATCGTTATGTGGTTAAAAAAAAAACATCTCTATATCTTTAATATTTCTTATATTCTGTGGCGATTAAAAGTAAAATGTAAACAACTAATTTCTAAGTGAAACCCCAAATTGGAAGTGCTAATTAGAGAATACATAGACTTTGCCAAGGCTATTCAACTGAATTGCTCAGGGGGCCACAGTTACTGAAAGCCATGAGCTCAGGGGCTGGACATCCAGCAGTTATTGTCATTAAGTAAATTTGTTTTATGGTTTGAAATCTAGTTCATTTAAAATGAACCCATTGGTGGGCTGAACTGAGTTAATGTGTAGGTCTGATTTGGCCCCCGGGCCACCAGTTGAATAGCCCTGGACTATACAGATCTGGTAACAAAACTCACTCAGAACATTGTTATCCCTAAAATTATTGTACAATTTCTAATGTGGCAAATCCCTTTTACATTCAATAGAGTATAGTATTTAGAGTGTGTAAAAAAAAATGCTTTAAACATCTATGGCAAGTAATCCTTCTCACCAAAGGTACTTGACTAATCTTGTCCTGCAAGCAAGGCTTTTGAGTGTTTAAAAGCTAAACCTGCTCAAAGAAGTCTTTACAATCTGTTTCTGGTTCTACATTTATGCCATAGGACTACAGTTACTCAACTTTTCTAAAAACAAAAAAAACATAAGCAAGTCATCTGCATAAAGTAATATAATGTAAAAACTTGCTGCTCAGGTGGACACGACTGTCTAAAGGGCCAAATCACCAAAAGTAAATAATTCCATACAAACAAAGAAAATAAAACCACAAGCTTGATTACTGACATCATTGATTACCTTTAAACCATACAACAAAAGAGAAACCCATCTGTCAATGTGCATCCTTTCAGAGGCAGAGTCTAACTAGTTGTCTTGTTATTGGTCAGTGAAAATATTCCACCTTAAACACAATCACAACACACAATTAATATCTGCCTTTTTTATCATTCTGGGGACCCTTATACGGGGACAACTGTGCATGTTCTCCACACCTAGAGGTCCAGAAGTTGCAGAAATGTAGATTTAGAATATTTGTCATGATTTACCAATGTGTACTACTTTGAGGAGAATAATCAATATACTTGTCCACATGATGGTAAACAGAAGATCAATGCTCCCTGCTTTAAATATATATTACATTATTTACATGAACAACATACAGTATAGGCAGAGATGCTCAGTAGTCCATTAGAAATTACTATAATAAAACAGAAAATGTCCACATGATTTTTTCTATTTTTTAAACCATTAAAAATAAACAATTGATTATCAAGATCTTCAGTATTGCCTTCTTTGTTTCTCGAAGCAATAATGTCAGAGTGAGGTTTATTGTGGTGAGGCTCACCTGTGTACAAAAGATACTCTGTGGCATGGTGAACTGACTAGCTTTGCTGATGGTTTTCCATGATACCTGAAGAAATTTATGCCTAAACGAAAGCTCATTAAATGTCTGAGTGCACTCTTGACCTGACAGATGAAGGCTGCTTTAGAATCCATGAAGATGTTCTATTGAAATACTTGTAAATGTTCAGATTAATTTTTAATGAACAAAGGATCGTTCGGCTTCTGAGAGGTGGTTCTATTACTAAATTAACAATGGTGCCATCAGGATCGGCTGGATTTTCTGTGAATTTCCTTTAACAAAACATGAACTGAACGAACATTTCCTTCAAAGATCTGGTCAATAAATTAATTATTGATTGGAGCTGATAGTATAATGATTTGCAGACGAAACCTTTTTAGGTCTTAGTCAAGATCTTTCCAGATTTACAATTCATGGCTTCATTCAGAGGCTGGTTTTAAGGATCAGAACAATTATTGCCACATTCTACCAAAGTTATACATTCAGCCATAGAAATTTATCTACAGAGAATCCTAATGCCTAAATAACGGATCATTTGTAGTCTCAGCTATAGCCTTAATAAGACCCTGTTCTGTGTTTTAACATTTAATAGACAAAATTTGATTTACTATACTGCATTTTTTTCAAGGACAATAAAGTATGACAGTGAAAATACATTTTAATTTTACTACTGAAGGTCTAGTAGTAAAAAAAAAAAAAATGTTCTACTGAAGAACTGAAGCTGTAGTTTTATAGAATAAAAACTTGCCAGAGACATACAATTAAAAACCAAAGCACATCAACACAAGCAACAAAAGATTGAGACATATGAAGATTCTGTTTACCCTGCTTGTGAATATTCAGTATTCAGTTCAAGAAGTCATAAAACGTAGTACTTCTCCAGAAAATGGATATCAAATAAGCCAGTTCTGATCAGACCAGATAGGCTCAGTTGACCTGAGACAGGTTAAAAAATTCAGTCTGAGCCAACCGTTTAAAATTCCCGTTAATATACAGCCAAAGAAGGGGCCCAGTCTTCATTTCCTGTTTGATCTGAGAGAATCCAAAGAGTGCAAACAATGTAAGAATACCTAAAATTCACAAAATTGGGATAATTTGAATGAAAAATATCCCTTGAAGTCAGTTTAGTTCACCATTCTTAATTTCCCACGTTGCACTGCGATGCAATATGACTCCAGAGACAACTCAAGCAATCTCCACAAACAAAACCATCTAAAAGCAGATCATTATGTGTAGATCCGTAGAATATATGGTTTCCTTTTCTGCAAAAAAGTGCTACGCCATTCTAGGTCCAACAATTCTTTGATTACATGCTAGGTCCACTTATTGTTTTTGATTTTTTTTGTTTATCGTTTTAGGGAAGAGTGCATATGGATGTATAGAAGTGCTTGCATGCCTGTACAAATGCATCAGATGTTTATAGTAGAGTTGGCGTTGTTCATAAGGACTCTCATCTCTTGAATATTCGTGATTATTTTTTTCTGGTGTCCAGCCAAGTTCACTCCTACTCTTCTCAGATCTCTGAAAAACAGCAGATAATAAATTATTTTCAAGCAAGTTGCTAACAAGGACATGAATAACATGGACGTTGGTACTTTCTGTATTACTGTTTGTTTACAGTTATGTAAATATTCTTACTCTGATGTCATCTGAGCTACTGTTTCCAGGGAGGAGTAGCCTCCCTCCATAAAGAGTTCTGTGTAGCGGCCCATCTTGATCGAGTCAAGCCACTCTCCAACTGTCTTGGTTCGATTGCAGCAGTCTCCATCTGCACTCGCATGCTCCACTAACAAGTTGGAAACCCTAGCACACAGATGGAAATAACAGTAAAATTATTTTTACTTTTCTTCATTTCAAATCTTTTTTTTTTTTTTTATGCAAGAAGTTTTATTTGTTCAGAGAATCGGTGCATGCACAGTTCACAAACCAAGCAAAACAACATAAAATATCACAAATGTATAGAAATATTCCATATTTTTATAAAATAAAAATAAAACTACAAACAAATACAATAATATAATCCAAGGAGGGTGAAAGACTGCAACATGTATTTCTAAGATGCTCAGGGTCAAAAACCTAAACCTCAGTCTTGTCTGTATTCAAAAGCAGAAAATTTAGGGTCATCCAGGTTTTTATGTCTTTAAGACATTTGTCTAAGTAGCTGATTGGATTCATTGGGTTTCATGGACAAATATAACTATCACCAGCATAACAACAACAATATATCCCATGCTGTTTAATAACATTACCTAATGGAAACATATATATGGTAAAGAGTATTGGTCCAAGCACTGAAACCTGATGAACACCATTAATAACTTTTGTGTATGAAGAAGATTCATTATTTACATTTACAAAGTGGAATCTATCAGATAAATATGATTTAAACCCAATATCATACTTAAGCCTCTTTATTAGAATATTGTGATCAACTGTATCAAATGCAGCACTGAGGTCTAACAGGACCAGTGTAGACACCTGTCCATTGTCAGAGGCCATGAGAATGTCATTAGTAACTTTCACCAGCGCTGACTCTGTGCTATGGTATGCTCTAAACCCTGACTGAAACTCCTCAACCAGATTAATTATTTGCAGATGTTCACGCAACTGACGTGCAACTATTATCTACCTATTAACTATTAACTACCTATTACCTGTCTAAATAAAGGTTGAATGAATTATCATAGGTGTTATACACACTGAGCTCAACAGTCCTGACACTTCCCTGTGAAGCTTCACTAGTAATGTTAGTAACATGCACCATCACACAAAGCTGCAACAACAGACTCGCTTTTCACCCAAAAACTCTTTGTCATTCAGCTCACTCTTCCCGCTGACAAATAGAGCTCCCCGTGTAATCAAATGAAATATTCACAGTAGGTAACAACATTCTCCGTGGCGCAACAGGAACAAAGGAGTAGCATGGAAAAAGGTCTGGGCTTGTTGTTTGGTGTCCTTTTATTCCTGACAGCTGTCATTGTAGGCTTATTAGATGTGTCACAGATTTATTAAATGTGCTTCCTTTTTTTGGTGTATGAAGCAAATAGAAGTCCACTAAAAAAACAAATATTATATTAATGCCAAATAAATATAACATGGCTATTAGAATAGATTTTATATTTGTTGCATCTTAACACCAGCTTTGTCTGAAAGGTCTGTCTGAGTTCCCACTTTACCTGTGTGAGGAGTTGACCAACTTTTTTAAAGAGCTGGGGTTGCGAATAAGTTTGTCAAGTAGACAAACAATCTCATCAAACTTTGGGCGGTTGGTGCGTTCCCGCTGCCAGCAGTCCATCATTAGGTGGTACAGGGCCTCCGGGCAGTCCATGGGACCTGGCAACCTGTAATTCTCTTCCACTGCTTTTATTACCTGCACACAAAAAAGAGGGATGAAAAAAAAAAAGCAGAAATCAGTACTTTTTTTTTCCCTCCCCCAAAAAAAATATGCATTTTTTTTTTTCTAACTGGCTCTCTAACGAGGTGCACGCGTTTCTCCCAGCTCCCTGTTCTCCTCCTGCTTTTTTGCTCTCTGTCTGTGTATCGGAGCAGCTCCTATTTTTACACATCTTCTGAAATGAAAACTACTGTTTTGGATCTGACCAACTGGACTTTCGACATATATTACACAATCTTTTCAACAAAGCGACAGGGTCCTGGAGAACCCTCAACTGCTCGGACGAGATGCATGCAGCTGGACATATCTCTGGAGGTGATGTGTCTACCTTTGCTATCGAACGAGGACGCCGAAATTTCATATAATGGGATTTATGATAACAGGTTTCTTGTTTTTCGAATAGTCTGGATCCTGGTTTATCAACATACAAAAAAGACGGCCGCAGCTAATTTGGACCTCGTCAGGCTGCTGCCTATGTGAAGGTTTGGTTCGTGCTTTGAGGACTCAAAATCAGCTGATTTACGAGCTAAACCGTCAGTTGGAAATTATTTGAATTGCAGGCCACCTGCGGCTTTGGGACTCGTCAGCATGGAAAAAACATTGAGAGGCTCGTAAGCACGGACCAGCAGAATGCACCCTAATCTGGTCATTTCGAACCTTGGAAGTTATCAATACAGACTCAAAGGCTTGACAATAGAAATAGTCTGCCTGAATAAGTCAACAATTGTGGTTATCTGAATATGACTCCCTGGCTGGCCTTGAAACAGGCCGACTTATCAATTTCTCCTCGGAAATGTGCAAACTAAGGAAAAGCTTTGTCTATCGAAAGAATAGAATAAGAAGGCCGCGCTATATAGCAGCAGCTTTGTGCACTCCGTCCATCTTTCAAACGACTGTACGTACATATTCTCATATCTCAGTGCAATGATAATAAAGCTTATTGTGATTCTGACAATAGTACACAGGGAAACAACGTCAATGGTGGTAGAAAATGAGTGTGTTATCTTAATATATCTAATTATCAGGTCTCTCTTGTAAATGAGTCCTCGAGGCTCAATGGGATTTACCTGTATAAATAAAGGTTGATTGATAATCTATCTACAATTACAAAAAAAATAATAATAATTTTAAACTCTACATCATATTATTTATTGACAGACATAATATATGAAGTTTAGATAATTTATGGATAGTATAAACATGTAATAAAACTCGGTAACATTCTATGGCAAAAGGCAAAAATTACCACTCATTACATTCAGTTATCAAAAAAAAAAAAAAAGCAAAAACATTGAATGTTATAGACTTTGAGTTTGTATGACATGTGCTTCTTACAGCTCTGATCTGTCATTATGCCATAACAATTATTTATGATTTTTTTTCTTAAATTACTAAGATGCACACTGACTTACAAATAAATAATTATAAATAAAGCCTGTAGTGGAAAGCAGGCTGGAGTTTTCAGCCTTGCTTTGTGAGTGCAACACATAGCAGGGAATTGATTTGTTGAGTTCATAACCTACTTTACTTTGGCTAAATTCACCCAAAAGAGCAACGTGATAGCCCTCCAATACAAACAACTTTGTAAGTGCACACTCCATCTAAAGCTTAAAAGGGAGAAAAAAAGTAGCATCAAACCATCATTGCCGACTGGGAGGAAGAGGAAATACTGAAGGGGAAGGAAAGATCAGAGACCGAGGAGGGAAAACGAGAAGGTGAATGAGAAATAAAGAATAGAGACAGAGATTGCATTTTAGAGACAAGAGAGGATACGAGTAAAAAGTGAGAATGGGAGAAAGGGAAACAGAAGGAGACAGCTTAGAGAAGGAACGTTAGAGCCCACACTTTCTTGTGCAGATCAGAGAAAATCCTGCATAACGCTTTCAATTAAACATCAAACGTCTTCTCCACTCCTTCCCACTCATCCTCATCTTCTTTCCTCTCCTACTCTTCTCTAGTCTTTGAGACATTCTGCTAATAAGCAAACGAAGGGAGGAGTCTGATGCAGGGGATTGAGAGGTCACGTAGGGGCTGCGTGCACATATGTTGCGAGTGTGTGGGCGGCTGTGAAGCGAGTACACTTGTTGTTGAAATCAAATGTGTCCACGCCTACACAGTTTTATTTTTTGTGCATACGTTTCTACAATGGTGAATATTTTCTTTCAAAGCAGGACAAAGGCAAAAAAAGAAATGCATATCTGTTGAGATTTGTTATTTTTTTTATCATACTTACATCTTGATTGGACATCTCCCAGTAAGGTCTCTCTCCGTATGACATCACCTCCCACATGACAATCCCATAGCTCCACACATCGCTTGCTGAGGTGAACTTCCTGTATGCGATTGCCTCAGGAGCTGTCCAGCGAATGGGAATCTTCCCACCCTGCAATGAAATGGATTGGCATAGATGCAAACCCCTCTTTGAAAAATAAAGCAATGTTATACAAGTACTTTAACCTCAAAGCCATTAAAAGGTAAAGTTTTGCTGATTTCTAAAGGCGGTAACTCAATGCAATGTTTCGAGTCTAGCTGGTAAAACGGAAAAATAAAATAGATGCCGTATTTTTCAGAATATAAGGCATTAAGCGAAACAAAACAGTCATAAGTCAAATTTATTCAACTCATTTACAATAACTCTCAACATTGTTCAGTTGTACCACATACAATCGGTTCGAGGTCAGTAAGCACAACCAGAATTAATACATAAGGTGCACCGTACTATAAGGCTCACTGTTGATTTTTGAGAAAATTAAAGGATTTTAAGCGCACCTTATAGTCCAAAAATACTGTATATTTTCCAGTGCAGCCTCAGTAAAATCTGAGTTTGCAAACAAGTGAGCAGTGACCATGTTTTGTCATTTTTTGAAAATCACAGTTTATTGTCATATGCACCACTTGCAATGCTGTTTACATTATTTTGTTGCCCACATCCACCTGTGTAATACCCACCTTGGCAACCAACTCACAGTTTACATTTTATGCTACTGGAGCGCTCTTTTGAAATAAAGATAGTCAGAATTAGGCCAAGGCTCCTGTGCAGGTGTCAAAATACAGCGCTGACACCTCTGAAACGAGATAGAGACACCTGTAACAAATATTAAATGTATTCTAAATGGGTTGGAGACACAGTCGTCTAAAATAGTCATAATACTTTGGTAACCTTCCTGTTCTACAACAACATATCCAAGTGTTTTGCAATGGATTGCGTTACTTCAAATTTGATTTATTTCCATTTGCAAACAAAAAGGCAACAACAACAACAACAACAAAAATGCTTTGCAGCAGGTTAATTTCATGTTTTAATGAATGTGGGTGAACCAGTGTGTGGGCATCCAGTTTAAATTATATACATATTTTTATTTACATGAAGATAATGTTTCAAGTGGCATAACAAATATATTTTACTGATAGCTTCTGTACATTGCTTTAAAGGCAACTGACTGCATATGGTAGATGTTAAGTACTACTGCCAGTGATGTGCCATCTGCTGTAAGTGCTGCATGGAGAAATGGTGAGAAACAAACAAAACTAAATTATTATATATAAATGAATTAGGCACTATTTCATCTTAACTGTTAGTACTTGATGGCTGCAACATAGTCATGAATTACATCTTATACTTAAAAACTTGTTTTATTGAATATCATACTTTTCGTCGTATAAGTCATACCTTTTTGCATAAATGTGCATGCCCTGTGAATTATATGGCGAAATGACTTATGTTTTTTTTTTCTCCTCCCATATTTATAACCAATTTTTGGCTGAGATCTGACTATTTCATTCATTCTGACATGGAACATATTGAACACTACCATTTTCAGCCACTAGAGGGCCCTCAAGTAAAATGGCAAGTCAAGTGTCTCATTAATAGGTAGAAGTAGCTATTATTGAGACACTTTGCTTGCCATACCAAACCACCTTCGTCTCGCTCTGGAACTCCTGTAGCAAAGTCAATATCAGCTGCATTTTGCCACGTCACCCAGGCGAAATGCAGCTGATTTGGCCATTAAAGTGCATTTATTAAGGAAAAGTTCAACTGAGACACACTTTGACTATAATTTTGAGCAAACAAATAATTGTTTTTAAGTGTTAATATTTTTAAATTCTTGTTAAAGTCCTCCTATGCATGCTCCTGCAGCTGCCATTTGGCAGCCAATCGATTTTTGGCACAACACCGGCCCACGTTTCCGGGTTGTCAGCGGTGACGCCTAACAAACGTGACTTATGCGGCACAGCGACTTATTTATATTTATTTTTTCTACCTTATTAGACATATTTGGACTGATGTGACTTATACAGCGGTGGGACGTGTACAGCGGAAAGTATGGTTATTCAAGAGAGTATTCGAGTCTACTTGCTAAACAGTCAGTCTGTTTAAGCAATCTGAACATTCAACTGTTGCTGGAAGTTCATTAGAATAACTCAAAGCATGTTTCTTTAAATGCAATTTATGAATACACTGATTATAAATGATCATTTTATAACTACAGCTGCTGGTTAAATGAACGTTATTACGTAAAGATGGAACCAAAGAACAAATGTTCATCAGGACACTTTTTATCCTAATACATATCAATTTAACAACACAGTTGAAGCGACAAGTTTCACTTTCTGGTATAAATTCACAATCCAAACTGTCGGGGGGGCTGAGATTGCTCTGCTTATTTTCTCCGTCTTCATTATAGTGCTTTCCTTGCAAAAATGAGAAGAAAAAAAAACGTTCACAGGAAGACTGCTGAGTTCCACAGGAGAATGTTCTTTCAGCTGATGAGTAGTGAAATTAACTTGATGAAGTATTGATGAATACAGCAGCAGGATATCTTTAGATCTGATTATTTTCCAGGATGTGGATTATGTTATTCTCACTTGTCGGTGGAAGAGAGTCTCATAACGACAGGGAGGGAAAGAGAGTTCGGAGGGATGCAGTCTGGCAGTGAGAGGTGAGTGATAGGATATTTGGCGCTAAGGCAGAAAGACTTGGTGCTAATTGAGTGTTGTGGAGACTGAGTCAAGTACTAATTGGTCCTCCTCCAGCAGGAAGCAGCACGTCTCTGGCTGACAGGACGACACTCAGCCAAAGACACACAGCTCAATTTAAAGCCTGCTGCTGTCAGAGTGTGCGTGCGCATGAATACACACAAGTGTATTTTGGCATTGTTGTGACAGCGTCTCTAACTTAATTCAAAGTTTCACACACAAACACCCAAGATTAACTTAAGTAATGCACATTATCTTTAAACTAAGATCATTTTATGACAAGAAATGGAAATGCAGCAGTTTTTGTCAAACCTTGTACATTTTGTTGTGTTAAATCTCATGCAATACTGTAAGAGCTAGCAAACTGTGTTGACATTTACCGTATTTTTCGGACTATAAGGCTCACTTAAAAAAGCCTTTAATTTTTCTAAAAAATCAACAGTGAGCCTTATAATCCAGTGCATCTTATGTATTAATTCTGGTTGTGCTTACTGACCTCAAACCAATTTTAAGTGGTGCAACTGAACAATGTTGAGGGTTATTGTGAATGAGTTGAATAAAGTTTGACTTATCTGACTGTTTTGTTTTGCTTAATGCACCTTATAATCCAGTGTGCTTTATGGTCCAAAAAATACGGTAAGTATATGTTGATGAGTCACAGCGAATTTTAACTCAATATTTAAATTTGACTGAGTTAAAGCCATTAATCTCTTAGTTAATGTAGATTTCTTGTGGCAGCCATCTTGACTGGATTCTCCCCAATGGTTAGTCAGTTGTAGATGCACATCCAGTAGTTGCTTTCTGAAAATTGTATCCAAGTCCATACAGCATTTTATGAGATTTGGCTAACACACAAACAAGGTTGACTGTACCTGTTAATGCAGCCAAAGATGTCTTATTACGACTAGTGCTCAGAGTACGTGTTGTCATGATATACAGCTATTAGTACACCAAAATGTATCTCAATATTTGTAAAAGTGGCTGAATTATAACCATGTTTGCATTTTCTTAGGACAATAAACTTTGCAAACCATCTTTAATTGAATTGGCTCCAAAGGTTAAACAATATAGATGTACTAGTACGCCCAATGTTTTTTTTTCCCAATAAAAATAAGGAAAATCTGTTCAGCGGTTCATGAAATTCTTTGCTGACAGTAAGCATGGACTATAATAGTATTAGTGAAAGTTTTAAAAACAGATCTCACAACATGTTAGTGTTCAGGGTATAAATTTGATTATATAAGTACTACTTTATATTTATATAAAGTAAAGTATATTTATATAAAGTTGATTCTCAGATACCAACATACAATATTTAGCAATATCCATAAAACTGACTGTGGTAGACAATTTTGTGTTTGCTAAAATCACAGTTTTGGTATAAATATAAAATGATGCCAAAAAAACATACAGCAAGCAAGCATGTTCTATTTGTTTGCATTGTTGTTTAATCTTTTCATCTGGTCATTTACATAATTTAAACAAAATGTATGACCATTTCAATAGGAAATTTGTTTCTGAATCGAAAACCATTTCGGAATCAAAAAACGCTTCTGAATCAAATTGTGACCCAGGAAGTCCACGGGCCAATCAGGGGGAACCAGCTGAATAAACATCGAGTCATCATTCCAGGACTCTTGGATTCTCATTGGTGCTGTCCTTGGCCATCCTCAACACCCCCCGAGAATGTTTATGGATCTCACCAGAGGGAACTGGCTGATTATTCCATTCTTATCAGAACTTCTACAGTGCCTCCGGGAGCGTCCTTGGACACACTCACCGCCCTTGTTATCTCCCCCTCCCCTGCGGAATGTCTACGTCAACATGTGCTAATGCGGGCGGGGTGATCTTTCAATTTCATGCTATCTCCCATTGTCCATTGAGAGAGAGCCCGTTAGGAATTTTTTTGCCTCCAAATCATGCATGTTGTTATTTTCACAACTTTTTATTCGTCTAAACAGGTCTCACTTGTAAAAGAGTTGTCGTGGCTCAATGTGATTTATCAGTATAAATAAAGGTTTGAATGAATGAATGAGTGACACCAAAAATGGGAATCGAATCGATAGACGCATAGATTGGCACCCCTAGTGGCCATCTTGAGTTTAGTTGACCCCAAACAGATAATCAGTTTAATATTTACTTTCCAAGAATTTTATTAAATCTATCCAGTGGTTCATGGGATAATTTGCTAACATGCCAGGGAATGAAACACATGCACGCAACATACAGACACAATTAGCAATAAATCTATAAACATACACTTGTGCTTTTAAAAAAGGTATTTAAGAGTGTGCTGTCTTTCTTTTAAATTCTGATTTTGTGCAGTTTTTTCTTTTAATATTTGAATAATCATATTTTTGCAGTCTAAAAAAAAAGCTTGTATTTATCAAGCAATTTTAGTTTGTCGTTACAATTTCTACATTTGTTAAATTGAATAATAACGTAGAGTTTAATGCAACATATTTAGACACACAAATTAAATGATTATGGCCTTACCCGAGTGGTGTAAGCAGCCTCTGGATCATCTTCCAAGACTCTGGACAGACCAAAATCAGACACTTTGGACACGAGGTTACTGTTGACAAGGATGTTGCGCGCTGCAAGATCTCGATGGACGTAGCCCATGTCCGACAGATATCTGCATATGATAACACAAAATAAAAAAATAAAATAAACACAAGTGTGCGCATGATAACTTTGAATAATCCAATAATTGGGTCTGTGTTTACCTCATGCCAGATGCAATGCCCCTCAGCATCCCAACCAGCTGGATTACTGTGAACTGGCCATCATTTTTCTACAATAAAGACATGGGAAAACAAGAAAATTCAGTTTGACATCTTTATGTAAATGTGATGCACATTTGATTCCATAAAAACAATGTAAAGAAAATGAGGGTGGAGTGAAAAAAAAGCTTTATTATGAGACATAAGTTTCCAGAATGGGATTAGTGTTTTGGATTCAGTGGTTCTCTGCTTTTTAATGAAAGTTTACAAGGAGAAAGTATTGCCTTGAAAGTGAGCAATATACCAAATTGAGTCAGAAAACTATAACAAACAAATAGAAATAGGCAGAAAGACATATAGACCAAAAAAAGCGAATGGTAATGGAAGTAAAAGAAACAGTTAAATGAATGTTTTCTCAAGGCTGCCCTGAGCACAAGCTAATTAACCTACAGTGTAGAATCCATTACAAAGACAACTCTGCACACTCACCTTTAACTCTCAACAGTTTAAAAGAAGATTTAAGCACAATGTAAACTGTTTTCACTGTTTTATTTTGTTCTTAAAAGAAAACGAACACGATTCCTTAAAAGTATACATTTTCACACCCTGGATGATTCAACATATTGATAAAGAGGTGGCAGAAATCACATTTACCACAATTCTACAGACATTATGTCTTGAGTAAAAAAAACTCAAGGCAGTCTTAAAAGAGAACAATTTCTAATTAAACAAAAAAAAAAAAACAACAACAAATATTTTTCATTGGCGACAGTATATACCACACCGAGTTCCCATTTATTATAGTTAACCAGTCAACGCCCACTGAGATCACAGATCTATTATTGAAGAAAGGCCTGGCAGTCCAATGTGCATGTTTTTGACTGTGGAGGAAACTGGAGTACAGTAGTCCCTCGCTACTTCACGGTTTGACTTTTGCGGACTCGACTGTCAACTTTAACATTACTCACATGATTGGGACAGTACAGGACAAAACGATAACGAGAGAAAAAAAAAATTCAAACAGGCGCTGTCATTTTGTAGATTTCATTCAATAAGCCTACTCTGTAACGCCAGTTACAGACTACACTACCCAGAAGCCAACAGTGCTTCGGCTGCTGCCTTCTGCCGAAATGGAGGGAAAGTTTAGCAATGCAAAGTCAGAAGTAATGATCTATCTATTAAACTCACAGAACTGGCAGGAAAGTCAAAAATAATCCTGAAGCTCAATTATCCATGTGCGCATCAACCTGGACGGGGCGGTGGGCTTCGTATCTGCAGGGTGGGTCTGCTAAACTGGAACTGAGCTGCTGGTCTGCAGAGCTGATGAGGAAAATTTTGCTGTATTGTACAGTACATATATGTATGTTGGGGAAGTGCACAAGATGTGCATCTGTGATCTCAGATCCTTTTATGACTTTGCAAACTGCCATTTAGCAATCCAAGCACACTTAAAAAAAGGCAAAGTATATATATATATATATTTTTCCACTTGCCTATACTCACTGAATTGTTTTAGTAAACCCAGATTTCTTTTACAGTTTTTTTTTGCACTACAAAAACAGGTCTTCTCAACTTGAGAAGCATAAATGTAATATTTCATCATACCTGCAGACACTGAGTGTATTGTCATAACTGAGTGTGAGTTACAGCTGCAGCATGACCTGAAACTCTACTAGACCCTTTGGGAGTTGGTTTTCTCACTACAATATACCATAACTTCATGTCAACCAGACAAGTACACAATTATGATGTTATAAACAACAACTTAAACTAGCCCTCTTCTACACTTTTATGTTTTTTAAACAAGTGGCACACCCATGGGAATTTGTTATGGATTTTTTACTTGCAAGGGCTTTATTGCTGCGTGCATTAGGAAAGCTGATTACTCTCAATGAAAAACAAACAAAACTGCTTTTTCTGCAAAAATGCAGCGTGTATGCCGAGGACTGAAATTTGCTGAAAAAGCTGAAACTGAGTTGTTGAAACTAAAAGAAGCGGGGCAAAACACTCGTTTCAAGAAGCAAATGACTATCTAAAAGCTAAAGTTGCAAACGTCTAGCCAAAAGCTATAGTTACAAAATGCTAAGTATAAAATAAAAACTTGAAAAATCTAAAAGTAACAAAATGCTATCTTAAATGCTATAATTAACAAAATGTTAAAGATTAAAAATAGCAAAAGACTAGCTAAAAGCTAAACGTATCAAAAGGCTGGCTAAATGCTAAACACATCCAGCGGTTAGCAAAAAACCTAAAATAGTATAATGCTACCTCAAAGATGTCTCAAGTCTAGTTTAAAGGTACAAAAGCATAACATGAGAAAAATAAAAGTAGAACTTTTCATACATAGCAATGTTTTTGAAAGATTTGAAGATAATAATGCACGTATATAAATAAAATATTTGTAAATTAAGAAAATATCTTGGAAAGTAAGAAAAAAAGGCAGCAAATGTCAGAACCCATCTTTTGAATAAGCTGTGCTCAGTGATGTATAAATCAATTAATTAGCATTAAGTATGCAGAAGTAATTGGATTGGGAAAAAACATATATTTAAAACTAATCATGGAAGATTCAGCATTCACACAAAGATTCACCTCCTACAATCACTGTTGGAAAACTCACAATGTATTAAAGTTTGATGTGAATAATCAGAAAAGTAGATCAGGTGTCACATTATATCCAGCCCAGGAAGATCATCATCTCAGATTGTTCCAGGAAAGCAGCAGAATGCTCATTGAGACCGAGCTGACATGTTCAGTTGCCATCAGATTAATGCAAAGCCGTGCATGTTTCAAAGGAGCTTTCCTTTTCTTCCCTCATGACAGCTCTCATTGTTAGCTTAAGCTTCAGCTCCTTACAACCCAAATGTAAACTTTCCCAACTTTACACAGTTTTACTAGTTGTAGAAGAACATGGCTCCTCCCTTCATGTTTTTAACCTTGGTCTCCATCACTGCTTTTCCCATCCAGCCACGGCAGAACATCCCACTTACATGGGAAATGAGACGTTAGGCCAAATATGTGAGTTATGAGGGTTGCAGTGCATTGTCCGAAGCTGTGACAGCTAATCCAGGGCGGTCTGGCTCCTGGTTTTCTCCCGACTGTGCCATTTATACTAGCCTGAGAACACCAGCCATCCATGTAATTACTTCACGGGGTTTTCTGCGCTTCTTCGCCTGCTGGTTCCCAATCTCTTCTGCTTTCCCCTTGCCATGAAGGTTTATTACCAAAGGCACTGCGCACGGTTATGTCAGCAGTTTCCACCGGCCACAGCTCTGTTTCTGAATATCATCTTAGAATCCTCCTCTTCCATAGAGTTGCAGTGTTCATGTGAAGGCTGTGATCCTAAAGGTGAAACCTGCACCTCCAAGCACCACTATCACCAGAATTATAAGACCTTATTTAATGCATTGCTTTTTTAGGCATCTGCTTCAGAAATGTTTACTCTTTTCATGGAGGATTTAGGTTTCTGCGGCAGCTGAGACTTCTGGTATTGTAATCACTGAAGAGGCTGGGGAGACAAATCATTCCATTTATTTTTGTTTTCTTCTTTTTTTTTTCATACAGTTCAGTTAAAATTAGGTTGTCTGCACAGGCCAGACATAAGTGTAGTGTTAAGTGATCAAATGACTTTCGAATTATCTGGCAAAACAAACAAATTTATTTTTAAAGAACAAGAAAAAGCCAAAACATCCAAACTTGATGTATTTACCAACAATCCATAGCTTTTCAATTTAATTCAAAATTCAAAAATACTTAATCCCAAAGGGAAATTAAATATTGTTGTAACTCATTATCTTCATTTTATTAAGATATATTATAGATACTGATGGCTGTATGAAGGAAGGATCTCTTTTAAAGGTCCGTCCCACAGCGAATCCGAAGAAACTGACCGCGGATGCCGTCTGATCCATCCACCCAGACTCGGCTGGCCTCTCGGTTCCCCGGGACTGCAGAACCGCCCAAATGCCGAGCAGAACTCCTTCCAGAGTGATGGCCACTCCTCCCATCAGCCTGCCAAGCTCCTTGTCACTGTGGACAGCCGGCTACAGGTGCTCGGGGACGATCTCTGTCCCCTTGCTGTCACAAGCTGCATTTTCTGACAGTTTTCTTTCTTATGAGATCTTAATATCTCAGTGGTCAGGCACTCGAGCACAGCCGGCAGGTAGACTGTAATGCATCCACGGAGCCTCCATTTCAACTCATTTGAGATTTCAAGCTGTAGTTGAGATAATATTTGAGCTTTGAGATGTTATTCAGCAGCCCCCGGTTGTAAACACCCCCCCCCCACCACCACCTTGTTGTTATGGTTACGCATCATAACAAATGTCCAAATGTAAAAAGTTTCATTAAAAAATCCTTCCAGCTGCACGGTATCCGATACTAGAGGAAACAATCATCCAAAAGAGTGATTTACTGTATGTCCCGAAAAGAGGAATTAAAGTTTCCAAAAGCAATATCTCAGAATGAATGAAAGAGCTACTCCAATATGCAGCCACCCCAAGCGGCGCAATTCTAGAATATTTTTAGGGGATTTAACAGGATTTGAACTAACCCCACTTAGGTATCTCCCCCCTGTCTCGACTACATTCATAAAGGAATTAGATGATTGCAATTTTTGCCTGCAAAATTAAAATTACACTTAAACATTAATAAAGTAGGACCATTTTTCAAACTACATCAAATTGTACCACGTTTGATAGTATTTGAACATTTGCATTACTTAAAGATATCACTGCTTCACCTATAGTTTACCTACTTTAAATGCCATTCATTTTTTTTTTTGTGCAAAATTATAACCTTCCCTCTCATTTAGCCACAATTTCTTATGACCTATGTGAGGTCTTACTTTGCTGCTTCCTGCCTTACCTTGAGGAAGGTGTCCAGTGATCCATTCTCCATGTACTCAGTGATGATCATCACAGGCTTGCCTGAAAAATAAAGTACAGTTTGATCATGCACATGAGCACGCAGCATCATTAAGGACCACACCCACCCAGCACAAGGACTTTTTTGTCTACTACCCTCAGGCAAACAATACAGGAGCCTCCCACTGCACACAAAAAAACCCCTCAAAGACAGTTATTACCCACAAGCTGTCACATTGCTGAACTCTTGACAACAATACTGAACAATTGACAATAACATTGCACTAAGCCACATCTGTGACACCTAATATGTTTATTGCTGCTGCACTATGTAGCTGTATCATGCATGTCACTCACTAACTGTGCAATAATCTGTCACACAACCCCTGTTGTATACATTAGTTATGTGCAATGTATATCATGTACATTTAAGCTTATATTACTACTTTGAATACTTATGTATACAAATTTATCCTACTTGCACCGTTATATTCTACCATATTGTTGTTTACTATATTTCTTTTAAACCTTGTAAAGATTATATTTCTTTTTCACTTGTTGGTACTTTATTTTGTACCCTTATTGCATGCTTTAGTATTTCTTTTTTGCTTGTTTGATTTTGTTTTTTGAGAGTCGAATCGGTTCTTCTCATCCTTTTCATTCAACCTTTATTTATACAGGTTAGTCTCACTGAGTCATGAGGACTCATTTACAAGAGACCTGACAATCCTGAGCATTTCATTGCTGACCTTGTGTTAACCTGCATATGACAAATAAACAATCCAACATATCAAGTATCAACCAGTGTAATCCAACACATTTTGAATTTTATTCATCCATGATCACTGCAGGGTTTTGTGCATTTGCAAGAATTTTATGGGATGGAGATTTGTCCAATCAACCCAATAACTTACTCTTGGTGACGACCCCCTCCAGACGGATGATGTTTGGATGGTTAAATTGGCCCATGATTGAAGCCTCCCAAAGGAAGTCACGTCGCTGCTGCTCTGTGTAGCCTGCTTTCAAAGTCTTGATGGCAACTTGGATCTCCCGTTTCCCGGGCAGCCTCAGTGGCCCGCAGCATACTTCACCAAATTCCCCTGAAGCAAATAAAATACAGAGTTTGGCTGTTGTAATTCTGCCAACTTTGATTTGCAATAAATATTGCTGAACAATTAGCAAAACCTCTAAAATTAGAGTAGCAATAAATTGACCGAAACATAAAACTTTTATGGTATATAAGCAATGCTGCATAGAATAATACCTTTATTTAAAATTCAATAAGTAGTTTTATACTTTTGTCCTCAAAAGAACAGCCATTAAAATCATATTGTACTCAAAATAAATGAAAAAAAAAATTGAATTTCTCTTAAAGATTTCACTTTCTGTGTAAAATTGTGTAACTATACAATGGAACATTTATAGTTGAGCTTGATGAACACATGAATGTACAACTAGTTAAATTTTAAACGTGAGAGAATTTGATTTGATATCAGAGTTTACGTATTTTATTTGACAGTCAGCTGTCCTTAATAAACAATAATATATTCTGCGATTTATTATTCTGTCCAAATTGTCTTCAACCTTGCTCTGAATGAGAATTCATCTATCTGGGTGTACACAGAAAGCCCGCTGATCCTACTCACCAGCACCGATGATTCTTTCAATCGAGATGAATGAGACGTCAATCTCCTGTGCAAATTCATGCACTGCCTGGTTGGGGTCCTCATAGGTAAGAGGGTCAATGTATGTCCGCACCCCAGGGAATTTGACTGCAGAAAACAAACAATCATTGCAGTATTTTGTAATCAGATCATTTAATTTTGCTTACAGAACAATGAAAAATGTAATTTCATACCATATAATGTTAACATTTTGAGAAGTTGCTAACTTTTTTCTCGCCTATTTTTTTTATTTTTATTCAGAAATGAGTGAGTCACCATAAGTTTAGTTGTACATAAGTATAAAGTAATACAGTAGTCCCTGGCTACTTCGAGTTTTCAACGTGATTGTATACGACACACAATTGTCAACTTTAATATTACTCATGTGACTGGGACGGTAAAACAAAAACAAAACAAACAAAACAAAAAAAATACTTTGGACAGGTGCCGCCATTTTGTAGTTTTATTTCAATGAGACTCGCTGTAACGCAAGTAAAAAAAAAACTACACGGCCCAGAAGCCAACAGTGCTTCCGGCCGCTGCTTTCTGCCAAAATTCAATTTACAACAATGGAGGGAGCAAACACTAGCGGAGAAACCGATGTGGTAAAAATAGTTTTGCAACACACAGTCAGAAGTAAAGATCTATTTATTAAGCTCACGGAACTGGAAGGAAAGTCACAAATAATCCTGAAGCTGAACTCATTCTTCAAGTTGTATCCTCACTGGTGAGTACCCATATAACATTTTGCAGTACTGTATTGTACAGTACATATACGTATGTTGTTAAAATTACATAGATTTAGGAGTTTAAAGCATTGTTAAGGGCATTGCAAGAGTGTGGGCAGGGTTTATAAAGCTTTAAAATATACATAAATACTAAAATAAATATAATGTTCCTACTTGATGGTTTTTCACCCATCGCGGTGGTGTCTGGAACGTAACCCCCGCGATAATCGAGGGACTATTGCATTAAAGAAAGCACATCGGGCATCACTGTTTCTTTCTGAATCTTAAATACTGCAACTAGAGAACTAAATACCTTCCTAAAACACTTAAATATCCACTGAAAACTTTTTTTTTTGTGTGTGTGTGTATGATTCGTAACACCATTTAATTTAAATTGAGCTTCTCCAAGGCCAGAATCAGCATGGCAATATTCATTACATATTGGACCTATAATTGATTTTCTTGAAGCTGATGTATCCATTGTAGTTGGCTCCGAATCCAACAGATGGATATAAGGATGCATTGCCAAAAATGTGGACAAATATATTGAGCTGTCACAGCCCATAATGCATCACGGCTTTATGTGTCCTCTGTTAACATGGATGCCATTCAAAAAAAAAATGCTTCTGGCACTCATCACTGACATGTGCACTGGTAGCAGACATCCATGCTTATGAAGATAAACAGAGACATGACCACTGTTTGAACCCACTGCTGTAAATGCAGCGTAAACTTCAGATAAACTTGTATTTATCTGCACGGTGACATTATACACACACTGTTTATGATAAACAGATGCTAAACGAGTTTCAGCTTTCCTGACTTACTGTGACCGTTGTGAAAGTGCATCTTTTCCTCCTCTGGATCCTGTTTTGCTTTGCTGTAGCCACATCGCCTGAGGAGAAAACACAAACCCATCAGAGTCGGTGTCAGGCTGCAGCAGTGTTGTTTGCACATTTACCAAGTGAGAGCATTTCATTAAATAGGACTTTGGAGATGAAACTATTTAAACCAGCACACACACACAATAAACAGTGTAAATGAATGCACATAAATACACACAAATACACAATTTACAAAATCTATAGAATCAGCTTTCAGTTGTTTTTATTTTTTTTATTTTTTTTATGAATATATTAACCAAATTGTAATTTTGGCATCCCTTTAAGATGTTAAGTCTTAAGATTGCTTTAAGATTTAAAGTGTCAAGATACATTAAACCCCTGAGACTCAAACTGTTGTTTCATGTACAACTTTTAAATTTCTAGGTTTAGTAAAAAAAATTAAAATAATATGCTGAAACGAAAACGTTTGACATAAGCAAAATATGACAGTTTTCATATATCAATGTGCAAGAGCTTTACTCAAGACATCAACTCAGGTTTTTTTTTTTTTTCCAGCAAATAAGATCTCAACATAAAAAATGTGTATGTGTATATATATATATATATATATATATATATAGTTTATTAGAAGTGCTTATTTCTGTATATTTTTCTCTGAAGTCAATGTAAGCAAGGTCGTTAGAGTAACCCTCACCGACAAAGCCAGAGCTATTTACATGCTGCATGCATGTTTAGAGCGTGTGTGTGCGTTTGTGCTCAAACAGCTTCCGTATGTTAATATTTAGACAAATGGCATCAGAGATAACAGATAACCCAAATTAAATGGGTGATGGATTCTAATTTTCATTCAACGTGCAAACACAAACATGCACAGAGCAAAAAACAAACAAAAAAAAAAAAACCCAAACGGATAAAGATTTTCTGTATTTGCCAAGTTAATTAAATGATCATCTTAACTGCATAAAAATGTAAAACAAATATTTTGCATTGAAGACTTATTCTTTTTTTTTTTTTCATATAAATAAACAGAATAAACATACTCAACAGAATTGTGTCCAAATTTATTTTTTGTTTATTTATGTATTTTTCCAATTTAAATTTTTCTGTGGGTCAGGCTGCCTTGGCAACAATCATCTGTAGTGAACAGCCGGATATTCCTGGTGGGAGAGTTTGTGTGTGTTTGCCAGAAGGAGCTCAGTTTGGTGGAGTCAAGAGGTTTGAGATTGCTGCGAGCCCAAGGCGATCGTTTTTACTGCGTGACCCCATGCATACGAACACCACTAAGTACACCAAGTATGAGCCAATAGATGGTGTGTTTAACACACTAAGGCGGAGTGTGACAAAGGTTATAGATGGATGTGTTACTTTTGATCCAATTCATCACAAGAACATACGATTTACATCCTCCTCAATTTATGACCATTTGCAAAGATTGTCTCTCTGATAATACTGTTACATGTTTAAACACCACAAAATAAAATATACGTACAACGTCAGGTATTCAGTATATGTAAAATTAATGAACTGAAAATCCATCTTGTACTTTCCACTGAGGCTGCACTAACGTTTACATCCACCTAATAAAAAAATAAGTAAATAAAAAAAATCCTAAAAAACGCTGAATTTAATTGAAAAACAAACTACTTAAATATCACTAACTGTATCCGATGACACCTTACAATGCACAGGGTCCCAAAAAAATCTGTATCTGCCAACATTTTTTGTCAACTTCCTGACTGGTCAGAACAGTTTCTGCAACAAATGGAAGACTGACTCTATACTAAGCATATAGTTATATTATGGTATACAGAAACAGCTGCATGCTCAACGTGCTTTACAGGACTTATAAGCTTTTATATATATACAAAAAAAGTTTCAAATTCTAATTAGATCTTTATTCAGATTGCTAAATATTTCAGATATTCACAAATGATCTCTTTAACTTCTTTACACGTTATTTTTATATTCAATACATACGAATAGTGCACCAAAGATCACTTTGGTTTAATTATTCTAATTAGGTAACATATCCAGAAATGTGTTGCAGGAACTCTGTCCACTATTGCCATCACTTTAGGGCATTTCATGAAAGGTCATCTTTCATTAAAGCGGGAAGTTACCAATCAACCATAAAGTGTGTCATTGCATATTGAGTTACAGTGTGCCAGCTGTACTGTTGCAGACAAAAAGGACATGCAGAAAGCTATAATGTCAGGAAACAAGATTGCTAACTGCCTATTCACCCACATGGAAGAATGTGTCACTTTATGTTACTTCAGGAGACCAATAAATATAATTTGGGACTCATATCACGCTGGTCATTGCCTCTTTGAACTGTTGCTACCTGGTACTACCTAACTATTTAGCATTAGTAGATGCTAAATAGCTGCCATAAGAGAAACAAGTAAACTTGGAAAGAAGATTTAATTTCTTCCCCACAATTATCAGCTCACTAAACAAAGGAAAGAAGGCAGGAAGGATTGATAGATGGATGGATGTTTCATACCATATTACAGTAAGTACACGACTATACATTATACTAGAAAAAAGGTAATGGTAAAATAAAAGGTACATACTTGTTGCAAAAAACAAATGTACTATCACAGAGTAAACATATATGATTGATAACTTTAATATAACAAATAAATCACTGGTCTTCCTCTACCAAAGCAAAGACATGAAACGTTTTCTCCTTTCTAACAGCACATCCACCCGTTTTACCACAAAAAAAGGAACTTGTGTAAGAATATAATATGTTCTTATCTGTGTTTACACCAGCGAACACTCCCTCCCAGGTGTTTATTCATGTCTTACCGTCCACTGAGCAGGAATCCAGCCACCACTGCCAGTAGAACCAGAGCCAGAGTGATGGCCACTGCTATTATCGAAGCCTGAGCACGCTCACTGGTGGCGGTTACTGCCAAACACAAAAAACGTGGGATCAGACACAGGCTGCAAAGCATACAAAGCTGCATTTGGCATACGTTGTTGATTGTATAGTCACGGTACTCACAGTAAGGGCTTGTCTGGAATTCAAACCGTCGGCTAAATGCACCATAACCTGCTGACGTCCGGGCTCGTACCTGTGTGGTTTTATCATTCATCAAAAACCGTCACAAGCATTACAAGTAGTTTCAAACTCATGCTTTATTTGGTTTTGTTTGAGTATTTTCCTTAAACAATGCTACACTGTCAGTCATTCTTTTGCTTTGTTTTCAATTAGAGATAACTTTAAAAAAAAAAAAATCACATATTTTACCTGAAAGATGTACATGGAAGATGGTTTCAGACCTTCCACTACCATTTCTGTTTCCTTGGATTTTATTATAGTATAACTTGAGTCCTGTTCCTGTAATAAAAACAAACCCAAAACCATTAAGATCCATTTTCTGTGAGCTGGTTTGTGTAAACCAAATGTTTAAATTTAGTTTTTGATCATGATCTTGCACATTTCTTTGGTTTAGCCATCTGTGACACAGCCAAGCTTAAAGTACGTGTGTTTAAATGCCCGAGTGAGAAGATCAGTTTCCCATCTGTAACCAAATAGGGTTTGAGCAAAAATAAATGCTGCTCCTATTAAGCTTGAAGCCATTAGTAAACCACTGACCACAGACTGCACTCTGTTCTCCTGTGAGCTTTTTATGCTGACCTTCCCCTTAAAAAAAAGCCATTAGAACATGACAAAGAAAAAAGGAAGGACACAGCAGCCATAGTGATCCAAATATAAGTTTCAAATTTCAGGACAAACATTATTCTAATACAACTTTTCAATAAAACAAAGAAAGGAATGTAAAAGCCATAATAGAAAAACAGAGGATGGGAAAAAAAAATGAAAATGAAAGAATGCAGAGGACAGAGTGAGATGGAGAAGGATGACTCGCTATGGCAACCCTGAAGAAGAACAAACAGAAGAACTAGAACAACAAGAACAAGAAGAAAGAAGAAGAATAACAAAAAGAAAACCATAAAAGAAAAAAAAAACTACTTTTATTTATCTTAATATATTCCAAATGTTTCTTTTAAATATTTTGCAACTTTAAAATTGATTGTTTCTGATTTTCTTCTTCCAGTCAGTTAAATAGAAAACTATTTATAACAGACGGTTTTTGATTTAAATGGACACTCATCCATTACAGCCTTTTCAGATACAAAGTACAAACAGAAGAGTAATTCACTGGATAAAAAAAAAATCCTAGTAGTAGTTGAATTATTTTATTAAGACCCTGGTTTATTTGTTTGTTTTTATGGAAGCTACCTGTCAGTGCATTACATAAAATGATAATAATATCAAAAACAATGTAAATTATAAAGTACAGTTGTCATAAAACCACCGAGATCAAAGTTAGTGGACAACTGTGAGTGCAGGAAAAAAAAAGAAGAAATGTTTCTTTTAAATGTGTTTTACCTTTTCAAAATACTTTATCTCGTACTCAAGAATAATGCCGTTGGGACGATCGGGCTCTGCCCAGGAAAGGGAAATGCTGCTCTTCCCTGTGTGTCCTTTCCTCACCACACTTACAGGGGAGGGTGCTGCAAACACACACATATTAACTTACAGTTTGTAAAACCAAATACAATACTTTACATATAAAAAAACCCAAAACAAAACAAATAAATAAAAAATGTATTAGCTTCAATAAGGGGAGCCTTATTGTAAAGTGGTACCAAACAACACAATATTAGTAACTCAATAAAAGAAAATGAAGCACATTCCAAATTCTTGAAGTTGAAATAACTAAAACATGTAGCAATGGTATATCCACGTTGTGAACATAAATACAAAATGTACACATATTTTTGCAAAAAAAAAAAAGTCAAGTATCATCAGCATTTATATTAATTGAGAAAACACAAAAAATGGTGAATTGCACACAAAACGACAAAGAGAACATTTAAAGTTTATTCAAAGTTTCTGCACCATTTTTGATAAGAATTGGTTTGTTGTAGGTTTTCTGCTATTAAACTTCACATGATGTTCTGTTCAGTCGATTCCGTCCTTCTTCAGCCAGACAAATATTTAGAATCAGATCTGCCTCGAAAACACATCTGTAATTTTTGTGCACCTGTGCCTCATTATATGATGCCTCTGAATGAGTTAATGATCCCAATTCAGTGGCTCCTCATGTCTAGGTGTGACTGCTGTTTAGCTACCAAATTTATCCGCCTGAAAAAAATCTAACAAGCAGGAAATGCCAACAGAAATTAAAATAATAAAAATAAGTGAATAAATAAATGAAAAAAAAAACATATTTTATGTGCTCTTTGCAGCCATATACATTATTTAAACATGCACTATGTTTCCCTTGTCTTTGTCTCTTTTGCAAAGTACTCACTTTCACTTTATGCTTTTTGAAAAAGTTTTATTTTCAGTTAAACGCCATGAAAGTTTGAGTTTCCATCAATCACCGCACCATCCTGTTGTAACCTGAACTGCCGGGCCATCTCTCAGAGGGACAGTTGGGCGAGTGACACATGAAGAGCTTTTAACCAGGCAAAATGCTCCCCCAGGCAACATCCTAATAGTGAACGAGTGTGTGTGCGTGCTTGGATGTAGTGTGCGTCTTGTGCAAATTCTAAACAGCGTTTAGGTTTCAATAGTCTCAGCAGAACTCCACAGGGAATTAATCATTGCTACAAAACACAGTAACTGTACCCTGAGAGGTGGTTGCACAGAAGTGTTATCTGCAACATCTTAAAAGCCTGAAACCAGAGACCAAATCACACACATGCACACTTGAAATGCTTAAATGGTGTGATGAGCAAAGGCTTACTTTCCCAGCAGCTTTATGGGTAACAATACACCAAACTCCAAGTTTAAATCCTCCAATAATGGAGGCGGTTTCTGATGCCGCATTAATCAAAAGGCTTTAATGGAGGTTGTCATATAAGTGTGTGCAGAAACTAGAAAGTCCAAAATTAAGTATAATGACTTAGGTTTCATAAAAAAGGCTTAATTTGGCAACGAGGCAGGTTAATATTATAAAATATAATGAAAAGGGAAAAAAAAAATAATAATAATAAAATCAACACATGCTCCAGACTGATACTCTCAGTTACTCAAATTAATACATTTAAATATATTCTGTTGTAAAATGTTGTATTGATTGATATTGTATTTTGTATGAGTGATAAAAAGGATTTCTAAACAATAAAAACAAAAACAAAAACAAATAATTTCATATTGTATATTGTATATATACACATACACGCATATACAGAGAGAGAGAGAGAGAAAGATAAATATATATAAAAAAAGAGCAAAAGAGAGATAGAGATATAGCTAGAGAGAGAACTAGAGAGCGAGAGAGAGTTAGAGAGATATAGAGATATATAGATAGAGCGATAGCGATATAGAGATATATAGATAGAGCGATATGGATATGGATATGGATATGGATATATATATATATATATATATATATATATATATATATATATATATATATATATATATATATAGATATAGATATATAGATAGATAGATAGAGATATATAGATAGATAGATAGAGATAGATAGATAGAGATAGATAGAGACAGATAGATAGATAGATAGAGATAGATAGAGATAGATAGAGATAGATAAATAGATAGATAGATAGATAGATAGATAGATAGATAGATGGATAGATAGAGAGAGGAGAGAGAGAGAGGAGAGGAGAAAGATACGTAGAGATAGAGATATAGTGAGATATAGAAAGATAGATATATAGAGATAGGTAAACGTTAGAAAAAAAAATGTACCCAAGTTAGTGTTCTTTATTTATTTATTAATTAACCTTAATTTAACCAGGCAAATCCCACTGAGATCACAGATCTTTTTGAAAGGAAGGCCTGGACCTGAAGGCAGCCTAGCATGCATGTTTTTGGTCTGTGGGAGGAAACCGGAGTACCCGGAGAAAACCCACGCTAGCACGAGAAGAACATGCAAACTCCACACAGAAAGACCCCAGGTCCAACAAGGGGATTGAACCCAGGACCTTCTTGCTGTGAGGCAACAGTGCTAACCACTAAAAGAACGAGTGTTCAGAAATTAGACCTAGAAACAAAAAAAGAAGAATAAAAAAAAAAATGAAAAAGTTAATGAGAAGAAATGTGACAGAGTCATGGGGGTGTTGTGGAATAATGAGAAAGTGGAAACCAAGCAGGCAGAAGAACAAAAGAGGGAAAAAAAAGTGAGAAACAAAATATCAAAGAGAACATGAGGAAGAGACCTGTTAAAAGAGTGTTGACGAGCGCAAGCAACACTTTTATTTTAGCAAGCGGGTAGACAGTATAATGACGCTTCCTTGTTTAAATACTTCCAGTAAGTGTTATATCTGTTGATGAACATCAACAAAGTGCTAATGTAGAACACAAATGTGCCTCAACTACTGTGCTGTGTCATAACATGAGCTATTAAAACTCTTTTGTTTGATATAAAACTATCTCGGATGTAAACACATTTTTATATTTATAAAAAAATGTATATATTAAAAAAAAGGAACACAAAAGGGTGAAAAACCACTTCACTGGCTGAGATCAGACCCAATATATTAACTCTATCATCAAACAAGCCCAATACTATTATAGTGCTGAACATAGGCCTCTCAGACTTCAATCTGTCTGTACTATCATCAAAATCAATAAAGACCTTCAGCTGTCTGGTCTATTATCTCATAAAGATCCTGTGGAACTGTCAGAAAGAAGGATCAAGATACACCAGGATTTATAGTAAAAATGGAAGGTAGATAACGTCATTAGTAAATACAAGTTAACATTTTCTCACTTACTTTATTTGCACTAATAAATGTATTAGGGACCTTTATTAGTAGCATATTGTTGTTGGTCAGTAAGTCATTAAAGCATGTATAAGATATGAAAAAAAAATTGGCTAAAGGGATCAAAGTTCGCATAGAATTATTAGCAAAACTAACAGAAGATTTTTGTATTTGCCTTCCTATCTTTTTTCTTTGTTCCCTGTTCATTACGGACTCCACAATAACATTTCTATAAATATGATTTATTCGTATAAATTCAATACGTTTAAAACCAATAAATTAAGGGACAACTGGGGATGAGTCGTCGGCATCTATATGGTCATGAAGAATGGATCATGATGGGAAAAAAATAAATAATAATCATAAACACCTGAGCAGCTGGACCCTGCAAACACCAATGCAATAACAAGAAGGTGAGGAGCTCCATCATCTGGGGAAAACTGCAACTAGAGCAACTGCTCCTCTGCATTGAAATGAAGCCATTGAAGTGGTTCAGGTTTCTGATTAGGATGCCTCTCTGTGGTAGTTTTCTGGACATCCCATTGGGGGTAGACCCTGGGTGGACCAAGAACTGACTGGATGGATCTTATGTCGTCTTTGGTCTGGGAATGCCTTAGAAATCTCCAGGAAAAGCTGGAGGATTGGGATGTTAGGGTTTACCTCCTCGACCTGTCGCCCCATGAATGACCATTAAAAAGTGGAATATATGGATGGATGAGGATCGTGTTTTTGATCATTTATGTATCATACAGTAAAAGGTCTTCCCTTTGATACAGCAAGTGTGCAAAAGGTTTTGCTTTTGTGACATAACCAGTGTTGATTATGATTAGATCTGAAGAAAGATTCCTAAATATCATCAGAGATCCATGCCACAAATATTTTATGATATCTAACAATAGGTGGTTGGGACGTCGACACATTCCAGAAGCAATCAAAGGTAGGGGTGCAGAAAAAAATCTTTTTTTTTTAAAAGACTGTAGATTCCTAGTCCTCGCAATTCTGAATCAATGCTAAAGGCCAAGAAATTGATTTTAAAATGCATTTAAGTTTCATTTTTTTCAGCTCCTACTTCCGTCCGCCGTAGAATTTGGCCGTGTAGGCCACTGTACAACAAGCTAGTTAGCCATCTCCCTTTATCTGAATGGAGTCTGTAGGAGCAGGGGGACAGAGCGATTCAATCCAATTCTTGTCAATTATATAACTGAAACAAAATGTATAACCATTTCAATAGACAAATCATTTCTGAATCGAAAATAGTTTCTGAATCGAAAAATCGATTTTGAATCAAATCGTGACAACAAAAATCAGAATAGACTCGAATCACCAGACACAGAGATTCACACCCCTAATCAAAGGCCAAGTGAGAATATGGTTTAGGGGAATTTCAAAGACAACCTTTAACAAAAATATTCTTCTTCCAAATACCTTCAAATCTGACCCTATGCCACCTTGAATCCCAAACAATACACTTTCAAAAACTGATCGCGAGACATATGGGCAACAATTTCTTTGTTTACAAGTGATTTTTGCCAATATATGTGTAATAGTCTTTCATTAAATGATATTTCAGTACCAGGCTCAAAGCAAATAGCATTCAATCTACCAATTCACACCCATTTTACTTTCATAGCACCAGGAAGACACGCAGCTACAGCACAAGATAATGAATCACACAGTTCATTTGAAAAATAGCAAGCACAGCAGAATTAATATATGCACAGCAGGTGCTTGTTTTTCATGCAGTACTCCAACATAGAAAACCATTAAAAGATCATTTGAAATAAACAAATAATGGTAAACAAACAAACAAAAAAAAAAGAAGAATGTTACTGGTATAAATTAACCTGAGACTAATGTTCAGTTACTACTTCTTGCATAAAAACAAAATCTGATTGTTCTTTTGAAAAGAGAATAGATCACAATGCAAACACTGGCAAGAAAGTTTTGGACTTCAGAAAGTCTAGTACTAAGTTTTGCATATAGTTTTATCTTTACATGGTCTAAACTGTTTTAAGACACAACCACTTCCAGCAACTTTGATACTTTCTATAATCATTAAGAGGTAAGAAAAGTGATGACAAATAATGAAGTGGTTTATGTATACGTAAAAAAAAAATGAAATTAATTTTGGATTTCTCATATTTTACAATCCATCCATCCATCCATCCATCCATCCATCCATCCATCCATCCATCCATCCATCCATCCATCCTCTTCCACTTGTTCCGAAGTCAGGCCACAGGGGCAGCAGCTTGAGCAGGGAAGTCCAGACATCTCTTTCCATAGCCACCTCTTCCAGCTCTTCTGGGAAGACCCCAAGGCTTTCCCAGATCAACCAAGAGACATAGTCTCTCCAGTTTGTCCTGGGCCTTCCCTAGGCATGCCCAAAGCACCTCCCTAGGGAGGCACCCAGGAAGCATCCTTACCAGATGCCCAAACCCCCTCAACTGGCTCCTCTCAATGTGGAGGAGCAGCGATTCTACTCCAAGTATCTCCCAGATAACTGAACTTTTTCATTCATTCAACCTTTATTTAGACGGTTAAATCCCATTGAGCCTCAAGGACTCATTTACAAGAGAGACCTGATTTCAACAAAGAATGATGACAACAATGCACAACAGCGACAACAATAAACAGTTATTAAAAGTCATACAGATTATTAATTTTTTAACAAATAGGAATGCTAAAAAAAGAAAAGTAACAAAAAACAGCTAGAGTCTAAGGCGAATTTAGAAAAATAAAAACAGAACATGTCTGCATTGGTCCTTGCCAGGAGTCCAACAGATTCTTAAAGCCACTTAGAGAGGTCAAGGTCGAGAGCTTCAAATATTTTTGTAAGATATTCCAGGAAACAGGAGTAGAGTAGGAGAAGGCCATTTTGCCTAGTTCAGTCCGCACTGAGGGAACACTGCAGGTAATAATGTCCTGAGAGCGCACGCTGTAGCTGCACTCATGCAGAGACATGCAGGAGGAGATGAATGAAGGCAGCAGACCAAGAAGTGATTTAAAAATGAAAATGTACCAGTGAAAGAGTCTGTGTGAAGTTAATGATGTTCAGTTAACCAGTGAATACAGGGTGCAGTGGTGGGTACGATAATCACAGCCAGTTATGAATCGTAGTGCACCATGATAGACAGCATCCAACATTTGTAGGGTTCTTATAGGAGCGTTCATGTAAATAATGTCACCATAATCAATGGACTAATCAACTTACCCTATCTCTAAGAGAGAGTCCAGCTACCCGACAGAGGAAACTCATTTCAACCGCCTGTATTCTCAGTCTCATTCTTTTGGTCACTACCCAGAGATTGAGGCCATAGGTGAGGGTAGGAACATAGATTGACCGGTAAACAGAGAGCTTTGCCTTATGGCCTTATATATATTTTAAGTAATAATAAATTGAATCGTCCTTAGGTGTGGGTGAGAGTGTGAATGGTAGCTTGTCTCCATGTGTCCCTGCTCAGGGTGTCCCCTGCCTCTTGTACAGTGACTGCTGGATATGGGCACCAGTAAACCCAGTGACCCAAAAAGGAACAAGTGGGTAAAGATAATGGATGGATGCATTCTTCCCGCCCCTCTACAACAGCAGTATAGAAGCACACTTTTTGCTTTCCTTTACTTACAGCTCCCTGTTGTGACCTTTTCATTCCTTATCTCAACTTCCCTGTCTTTTCTCCTCCATTGTATCCTGTCTAACTCCACCCTGTTGCTCTTCTCTGGCCATTACTATCTCTCAGTTTCTTCCTCCCTTTCGACAGTTTATTATTCCCCAGGGCTGCACACACACACACACAATGAAAATAACCATTTATTTGATTTCTGATCCTGTGCGGCATTCGTTCCAATAAACCTCAGATCTCCCGAGTCTTCCACTTACCCTGGACTCTCAGTTCTGCCTCAGTTGCTATTTTTTTTTTTTTTTTTTTGGTCTCTTTACCACCAAAAGCAAACACCTGATCAATAATCATTGTCACACACACAAGCAAGGCTAAATGTTGCTTGCAGTGATGATCTCAGTCTTTAGGTAATTATGGTCATAGAGATATGTCAGAAAACATTAAGCTGGTCATTACCATTATTGCTTCTGGAACAGTTCTAGTCATTAGTGCTGAATGTAGTGGCGCCGAAATGGCAAGCACACCTTAATGGCGTCCTGCTCCTCACAGTGTGATGCTTATTTGATTTTGTGGAGGTTAATATGTTCTGTATATATACTGGAATAATGAAGTTCTTGGAATTTGAGTAAAAATCTCTAAACGTATCAAAACAAGCACTTTTCTAATCTTACACTTGTAGTAACATCAACAGGATACCTTCTTATTGCATTAAAACATTAATTGATAGCTGCCATGTTCTGCACACACAACACAAAAAGCACAATTTTTTTCCCACCCGATTATTTTCAAGCCCCCTCCACAATAACAAAGTTACAACATTAAGTAAAGTATTTGATAAAACTTGACGTCTTTCATGGAATATTTGTTTAGTGTGGGAGTTGTCTCAGTTGTTTACTGTTAGAAAATGTTTTTCCACTTAGCAGGGGGCCCGGGGGTCTCTAGCCAAGACATTTTGAGCATCAAACACTTTATTTTCTGCAGTTTGGCATATTTAAAGAGGAATAGTTTGTATTTTATACATCAATTCATGTTGGAAAAAAATGCACAATGCATTTTAATATTTTAAATCTTTGGTTTTCTGAGGAATTTTGCACAGATTTTAATTTACATAATACAAACACAAGGTTTACTTCCCTATCCTGTATTGTGCCTTTTGCTGAGGGAAGTAAACTCTAATTGTACTTGTCCCTGGTCTTTGATAGCTTGAAAATGTTTATATATATATATATATATATATATATATATATATATATACAGAACATCTACACCTTACATCCTTACTGACAGTAGCCTGAGCCTTATCTAATCACTGTCAAAGAGAAGCCCATTTCATGAGTCTGCAACTGTGGCTGCCGCAAGTAATCTAACCTAATCCTAAATCTCCAATTGGTCCAGTAATCCAGCTACAATTCTAATAAACTGAATGTGAGTTTTATAGTCTGGAGTAATCCACTCGGTCTACTGACAACCATAGTGACAAGACATTTAAAGGACCGTCAGCAAGTCTTGACTCCTAGACAGCCATCTGGCTCCTTCTGTCTACGTGTGTCTCTTTTCAACACGTATCAGATTTGTTATTTGGCTCTTTACTATCACTGCTATTTCTACTGATGCTGTTAGAAATACTACCTACTGTTCTTTGACTGCCAGTGAGCCATCTGTTCAGCAAAAAGTACCAAACACGATCTTTCAACACTGTTTTTTTGTTTTTTTTTCCTTTTGCTTCTCCTCCAGATGGAGACTTGGTTACCCTTGCACGTTTCTCATTTTCTAATCATGTGTGCTTCCTGTTTCATTACAAGCTAATAAAATAAAGTACACAAGTGCATACCTCCTGTAAAAATAAACATGGGTTTCCAAAGCAGATAAGTGCTCGTTTTAATTTCAAAAGAAGCCAACAGCTATCAAAACGGTACGTTTAGGCAGAATATCTAGATGGTTTCCATTTTTCCTCATCGATACATTTGGCTAAATTGTTAGCAAGGTTTATAGATGCTTGTTCAAACCCTCACCCACCAAAAAACAAACACAAAATAACACTTTCCCACTCAAAATTAGCATGTACAGCAAAGTGATTCATCAGCATGATTCATTGCTGTTGACAGACATTCAGATTAACACCTGCTACTACACAAAAACACGCACACTGAAACTCAGGAACCCTCATTATGTCACAGTCCCTAAGAATCCTGTTGATGGAATATATCAAGCTGATTATTATTTTTTTTTTTTTTGATGACAAACAATATCTGGATGCAACAGCAGAAACAAAACAGGGTCCACGTCTCCACTGTGCAATGTTGTATTGTTCTCGGCAGGGATAAGTGAAAATCATTACAGCGACAGATTTGTTAGACAAACACTGTGATAATTTGATCATCTGGTGTCTTTTGTTTTCACACTCAGTTGTTCGAGCCTGAAAACCGACACGCTAATCATCTGTGGTAGATTAATTTAGGAAGTAAAAATAAATCTGTTCACTAATTAGGAATAATTTGAAATTCTACAAGGAAAATAACAAAAATTGAGGTGGTGGTGCGAGTGTATGTATGGTTGGAGAACATTTTTACATTGAAATCAGTGTGCATGCAAAATGATCACGTTCACCTATTTTAATAAAGAAAAAAACTCCTATAGAGGACAAGGTGGTTTTAAAATGTCAAAAAAAAAAAAAAGAAATATGCAACATACCTGCCTGATTGGTGGTGACGTTAAGTGTCACGTACTGCTTAGCATAGTCTTTGGCCAGCTCTGACACCCCGTTGATGGCCTCCAGCAGGAAGCTGTAGTTTGTGTGCGACTGCAAGTCGGCAACCATCACTGAGGTGTTCGACAGGCCAATTCGGCGTGGCAAAAAGCGTACGTTCGGGCCACACTCCTCCAACCCCCTACCATCCGGCAAAACCTGTCTGCATAGGATATTGTAGCCCACATCCTTTCTGCCGCCCATCTCCTTGGGAATGGACCATTCCAGAAAGACACTGGTTTCATTGACGTTGGAAATGGCATTGCGTGGTGCAGAAGGTGGTCCTGAGAAAGGAGAATACCGTTTAAGGAGATGGATAAAATAATATCAGTATTATTATACAATTGCATCTGAAATAATTTATTGAAGCGGGTAGTATCATACTAGGATGTGACTGTTGGCAATTCAAAATGTTAGTAAAGTCCCAAGAAATTGGGCAGATTTTCCACTGTAGTGTCCAATAAACTGTTCGGAACGAATTGACCAGCAGCCTGTGCAACCATGTTTTGAAAAAAATAAATAAATAAATGAAATCAGGGTCTTATTCAGCTCGCAAAACTGCATTCTTGCTCTTGCATATTTGTTGCCCATCTACAATCATATCGTACACCAGTGCTTTATTTGTAAACTGATTGATGCCAGAACAAAAGTAGTAGGTGGGCCAGCACGGGGGTGTGGGGTGAGGAGGAGGGGAGCAGGGGAAGTGGAGGGAGCTTGTGGGTCCTCCTCGCTTGAATTTTGGAATAAAGTAGATCTTATTTCCTGCTTTTTGGTCTAGCTCATTTTAACATGACTGTCAAACATCTACGTTTACCTACATTTGTAAATACTTGATTCAATAACTACTGTAGAGAGCAACAACAGACTGTGTGATTCTGTCAAGCGTCCTAATATAATAATACATATTAAATAAATAATAAATATTCAAGTTTGACTCAGTTTTTATTTTTTTATAATAATGATCATTGGTGTGGATTTTAGACCTGGACATGTTTTCTGTCAGTGGTAAGCTCCTGTGCAACCGTCATAACACAGCACTGCGAGTTCAAGATGGGTTTGAAACATCCACTCAATGTTTTGATATCAAATCTGTTGCACATTGTTTTAAACTTGTTCAGTGCTCAGGCTACAAAACTGCAAGCCTTGTGACTCAAGAAAATTCAGAACCACTGCAAAAGTTGCAAGAAATTCCAGAGTCTCTTATAAATGCCGTTTGCCAACTAGTCACAGCCCCGTGAGATACTACCTAAAGTAATGCACAAATAAAAAATGAGACTATGCAGATTAAACAGGTGGTAAATCCTCACGTGTGCAAGCCATATTAGTAGGATCAGAGTCAATCTTATAGTATCCATCTTCACAGCTGCAACTCGTGGCTCCCACCTGCCTTGCCACACTGTGAGGTGGACATTTACTGCAGTCTGAGGACTCCAGCTGAGAGCGGTAAAAGCCCACTTTGCACACTGAAAAAAGCAGAGGAGAGGAATACATGAGTTCATGGATGGAGAGATGAGATAAAAGCAGACAAGAAAACAAAGAATGAAAAATAGAAGCATAAAAGTGTGAATGAAAAGCAGAGCAGCACATATTGTCCACTTTAGGAAAGATAAACTCAACACAAGAGTAGGTGACACGTTTTCTTGGACGGTTGTCTTAAAGTTTATTTAAGGGGTGGCTGTGGCTGAGTGGTTAAAGCAGTCGTCCTCCAATGGGATATTTGGAGGTTCGATTCCACCAGCAGTCACATGCCGAAGTGTCCGTGGGCAAGATGAACCCCTCATTTCCTCTGACGTGTGTCCCATCAGTGTTTGAATGTGATTTAAAGCTCTGATTATTTTCTACAGATTCTGATGAGCTTTGTGGAGACCTGGTAGAGTGCTATGTGGATGGGTGAATGAGGGCACAGGTTGTATTGTAAAGCACTCTGTGTATTTTGATAAGATAGAAAGGCACCATGCAAGTGCAGTTCATTTACCATTTATTTATTAGAGACGCACACTTATTTTAGAGTATGTAAAGAAATAATTGTTTTGTTACATTTTCACTTCTCTTGTTTCCTTTTGAAGCCAGATTTCTGCTTCCGGTTCTCCTAGGATTTCTTCTTTCAGTGAACCCTAAAAGTTAGTATCTTTCCTTAAAGTTAGTTTTCCAATCTTTACATGAAAAACTTTAATTATGTAGAATTTATAGCTGAAAATAAGTCCACTTATATCTACTGCACAATAATGAATTTGCTTATGAAACAGAAAAATACACAAATGGTCAAAGTACAAGAAAATGCTCTCTCTTAGACAGAAAACAAAAACAGACACTGATCTAAGTGGAGCAGGTAGACAGGAGGGTGATGCACTCAGAATGTTAACACTCTGAAATACATCGACAGTCTGTCTCCTCTGCCACAATCCCAAGTCCACATAACACACAAGAGAGTGGCTGTGGCTGAGTGGTTAGAGCAGTGGACCTCCAATGCAAGAGTTGGGGGTTCAATTCCACCAGCAGGCACATTTCAAAGTGTCCCTGGGCAAGGCACTGAACCCCTCGTCGCCTCTGATGTGTGTCCCATCAGTGTATGAATGTGAGAAAGCACTGATTATTATTTGTATAGATGTAGTAGAGTGCTGTATGAAAGCATAAATGAGGGCACAGATTGTGCTGTGAAGCTCTGAGTACCTTGATGTTATAGAAAGGTACTATATAAGTACAGTCCATTTACACATCACTGGCCCACAGTATACCTGTAGTTTTTCTTCTGATTTAGCACTTGTACCTAGATAGATGCAAAGAGCATTGGAAAAAAAATAAAGAAAAACATATAATGAAGGAACTTGTTTGTTTTTTCCCTCCACTCTGGGGAGTTCTCTAGAGAACGCAAACTCGCATGGGATGTGACGACTGTTTTCCTGACACAACCTGGGCTCAAACCCGCAGACTTGGGATTCTTATGGAACGAACCATTGCGTTTCCCCCGAAAATATAAATTGGATGCTAAATTCTAGAAAACACAGTTACCCAAAACAAAACATTTAGACTTTAAGGGGGGAGGGATGATGAATGGCAAGAATCCCATGCAGAGTGAGGAGAAAATGACAAGATATGGATTCTTTACACCCTCATTGTTTTAGTGTGGCTGTTGTGGATGCAATTAGATCGACAATGATAAACTGGGAAAAAAAAAAAAAAAAAAAAAAATAATGATAAGAAAAAAAAAATGATAGAAGAGATTTGAAGGGAAAAGGGGATGATGGCAAAAGATAAGCCAATTTTTTTTAAGAATGAGAAAGAAAGACAAAAGGAGAAAGAAGACAATAGAGGTGGAATTGTGTGTGTGTGTTTCAGTCGTTAGGCGGCAAAGCCTCTGATTCACCTTGGCGGAACCTTGGTCTCTTGTCATGGAACATTAGTCCTGAAAAATTTGCTCTGCCCTGGTTCACTACTAGACCCCCCCCCCCCCCCCCCCCCCCCCCCCCCCCCCCCCCCCCC